GGTAATAGCAGTACTCTGTTTTCTTATTTGTGCTTGAAGAGAAATTCTTAACTTTTTTGCATTGCTTATATATTGATCTGCTCCATGTAGTATTGACCCGATACACATTGATGATCCCCTTTTTCCAACTAATAATGTGGGGCGTAATTGCTTCCGTATACATCAGTGTATCAAGGTAAGCTGTGTTTTTTTGGGATTAATTGTCATGATATTTTCTGACATATTCAATATTACCTTGTGTGATAATGTGATGCTTATCTATTGCTAGCTGCATATGTGTACAGATGCTTGTTTCTTACTTTCGAGATTATCATTGGATGTTGTAGGCATTTTCAGAAGCTCACTCTATTTTGGAGAATGAGTTGGCTTCTCTTCCCAATGACGGTGGTGATGATGCGTGCTCAAGGCCCCCATATAGACTTCTCTGGAAAATCATCCCAAGTATTGATCTATCGTAGCACTGCTTACTGTATGCAAAGTTGTATGCTTCTTAAGGTATCTTAAAATTTTAACATTTCCTTTTACTAATTTTTAATTGTTTGTTGGTATTTTTTTATTGTGAATGGGTTGGTGGGAAACTAACAATTTCCATCTTATCGTGGTCCTGTGTTAATATAGAGTAGGGGAGGTTGCGAAATAGTAGGTGCCTTCGGTTATGACTCCTTACCCTGCTAATCCCATCCCCTGGCGTTTTAACTTGTTGGTTGAAAACTGCAACCCCTAATTATGGCTTTAAGCATGATTAAATTGGAGTTCATTCTGTATGGGCGACCATGTAAGTTTACTGGACTTTCTGATTTTGTATTGGAGCTCCTCTCTGTTTTACTTGGGAGCCATTTGACAACCATTTCATTTTCAGTTCAGTTTTTGATTTCAATTTTCTTGTAAACTGAAAACTAAAAACTGAAATGGTTATGAAGCGGGCCTTTACTTATGCAGTTTCCTCCCATATGCACATTTTGCCCTCTTTCAGTTATTGATTTCTTTCCTGCTGAGTTCTCTTTTTTTTTTTTTTTTTTTTTTTTTTTTTTTTTCCCCGGCAGGATATGTCTGTAATTTTCACTGCAGATTAGCTCCGGTACTCTCGGTGCAGTCATGAACTCTCTTTGTTATGGTTCTGGTGCAGGTGTTGGCCACAGAAAAGTAAGGTTCAGACAACCAAAACACGTATTTATTTGTGTGCCTCCTATGCTGTTGTTTATCGGTTGTGCTCTTGTGGTTTATGTATTCATTGTCAAATTGTAACTAACCAATCTTTACTTTCTCTTTTTTTCAGTCGCCGGTTTTGTTGCCGTCATAATGTCATTAAAGACTGGATTTTCTGCTAAACTGTATCAAGTTCATCTTGGTGCCAAACGTGCTCAAGTGAGAGTGGAAAGGAGTAGCAACAATCAGAAAAAGGCTCGCATCAGATTCTTCAGGTCAGCCCCCAAACCTGATTTGGCGGTTCACTGCACTGAACATTTGTGCCGAAAACTCTAAAACCAATTGTATATATTGTTAGTACGGGTGTATAAATTTTATACAACTGTTCATAAATTATACCAGCTGTTCAGTTACGTCGAACTAGCATAGAATTTGTATACTCGTCGAAAACAAAACGTTAGGTTGTATGTGGCCAAGATATTTACCTAGCAACAGAAATGTATTGAGATCATAAAGTTCAACTGTATTCTGTATTTTTTGATTTACAAGCAAAATATCAATGACAAAAAGTGAGAAGAAAAAGAATCCGCCGGTTTGAGACGATCTTTAGACTTAATGCTCACCTCCGTCAGCCCGAACTTTGGCGGACGCAGATATCCGTGGACGGCAAAAGAAGGCCTGAATTGTGGTGAGTATTAGGAGGATCAGAGCAGCTAAAGCAGAGAGGAAGGACCATGGGGACTCAAAATACTTGAATCTGAAATCCGCCCACTGCACGTGCAAAATATTTCTTTGGTACTCGTTCACTTCGTTGAATGAACAACTTGTTCAGATAAAATACTGTCGATATCGAAAGGCACATCTTTGCGGAGGTTTTTGAAGAAATGCACGACCTCTTTGTCGGTTCCGAGATAATTCTCGATAATGTTTTAATCGGACAGAAATGTCGCGTCCATCGGCGTGCGGACGAGACAACTCATGAATGCAGCGTAAGTGTTTATATACTTTGGGCAATGAGAGTAGCGTTGTTCAAATGCAACCAAGTTTAAGAAGAAATGGGTGTGGAGATCATCTAGTTTTATGTGCGGAATTTCAAGAACTCCATTGCAAAATCTGATGTCTAGGAAGCTCTGCGCCTCCCGTGTTTTGAACATAATTCCGGCGAGATCGTGAAGCTTTTTTGCCGATTGGATAAACTCAACGTCCTCCTGAGGCGAATCATCCTGAGGTTCGGGGACAAAACTCAGGTGAAGTAAATCGAGTAGATGCTTTCCTTCGACACTGAAATAATGCCTCAAGACTTGAGGAGGCCTCCCTACTGCGCAGTTAAAGAATTCGATTTTTCAAACTACTTTTGAAGAACGAAGAAAGGAACTTGATTCTCCAATAGAACAAGATCTCGATAATAATTTTACTTTGCAGAACATTTCGATGATGAAGAGACCGTCTGGTACCATCATCTCAACCAGATGGCGGCTGCATAAGTTAATGGTCTCTGCATAGCACTCTCTTATATCATCTTCGATTTCTGCTACAACCTGCCGGTAGTCATCAAGTCCGATCAACTGCGTTCGACCGAGAAGATTGTCAAGAAATCTCCATTTGTGTTGTTGCATCATCACCACGTGTTTATCACCGTAGTGATAAGGGCCGATTGAGATGATATGAGGCCGGTACTTCCCCTCGTTTGTTTTCGCCAGGCAATGAGGTACTTTGAAGATGCAACAAGAGCTCTTACCTGCTAACGGATGCAGTAGCCATTTCGTTTCTTCGATTCTTTGCTTCAACGTCGTCATGCGATTATATTCCGTAGTGGTAACTGTAACGGCAGTATGATTTCTTCCTGTATTTGCCATGGGGCAGCTAGAAGATGAGTTCACTGCAGCTACAAATCAAAGGGAAGAAAACTTGTTATAGTAATTAACTAGTTTCTTTGCCTTTGAATTATAGAATAAAATGATCAGCAGTGGCTGTAAAACTATAACACGGTGGAATTCATTGACTTGTTCTCACTACGTACCTTCTGAGGCTCTGATGAAGAAGATGTTGCTGGAGCTCCTTCAATTTCTCTGAAATTAATACAACATTATCATTATCATGTAACTTTGAATTATAAACTTCAACGATTATAGAGTAACTCTCTGTAGTACGATAAATGAACGGTCATGATTTTAATGAAGAAATATTATATTTATTTACTTACCAATCTAATGAATATAAAGTCAGACTGTCCAATAAGCTGAATTAAAGACTTACCATAGTCTTTGAAACATACAGCTAATCCAACTCCTATAACTTATTGCACGCGGAAAATATGGAATAGGGTTGACTTGTATTTGATACATACAACTATTCCAACTCCTATAACTTATTGCAAGTGGAAATTGTGGAATAGGGTGACTATTTCTAGTCCCGTTCACAAAATTATATCTTATAAATAAAGTATTGAATAGTTGATGCTAAAAAGTGAACTTGAGGCCAAAATTTTTGGATTTTGGTTGAATTAATGAACTGTTGGCGACTTTAATTAATTCAATAGATCGTATATTTTAGATTTGATCGTGGAAGTAAAATAATGACGTTTAGGTCATATAAGCCATGGTAGGCATCGGGCTATGCAATAAACGAAAATATAGCCTAGTACGGCTCTAATAAAAAATATCACAAAAAAAATTGGGTATGGTTAAGAAGCGGGGGACGCCAAAATATGGAATTAGATTGAAAAATGGACGCGGCCCAGCATGTGATTATTGGCTGCAGTTGGCACGTCCGTGTAGCAAAACTGCATGCTTTTGGGCTTTTAGGACAAGGGCTGTACAGCGGCCCAACAGCAACAGAGCAGCGGGTCGAGGTGAAGGGCGAAGACAAGTAGCACATAAGGCTGTTGGAGGTGGGTCCTGACTCGGAGATGAGCCCATCAAGCATCAGGCTTGCTAGAAGTGGGTCGGGTGCAGGAGATAAGGCCCAGAAAAGCTGCAAGCTTGCTAGAGGCTGGTTGGGGCTGTAGGCCCCACTAAAACCAAACCCATGCTAGAAGCCTGATTGTCTTCATGTGCAGTAAGCCCAGAGGGCTACTGCTGCTAGTCCAGACATTAAACGACGTCGCCAGGGCACTGCACAACACAGCTTGGTTGCAGGCCAGCCAATGCGGCTCGTAGTCGTGGCTCAGTAGCATAACCCTAATTTTATTTTGTTTTTGGAAATATTTAAGTTTTGGTAAAGCCCTAATTGCTTAAGTTTTCTTTCGATTCTTCGACTCACAAAGTCCACATAGCAAATTTATAATTGCGTTATGCATGAATATATATATTCGATTCTTTGACTCATAAATTCCACATAGCAAATTTAAGCAAATTTATAATTGTGTTATGCATGAATATATATATTCGATTCTTTGACTCACAAATTCCACATAGCAAATTTATAATTGTGTTATGCATGAACATATATATATATATATATATATATTGACAAATATATGAACATATACAATATATATAGTAAGGTAAATATAAGTGTATGGGGTTTATGCATCATGGGGAATGTTTTCATGTTTCATGATCGTTAAAAATATCTAACATGGATTTTAGGAGAACCTAATTGGGAAAAAACAATTGAGCCTTTGAATTTGTAGAAGAACTCCCACGAAACTTCAGCTCCTTAGTGTTAGTTTCCTCAGCTTTAGGCAAGAGCATACTGATAACATGTTATAGGCCAAGTAACTGAAAAATATAAAGGACAAAGAGAGAGGGTTGCGGCAGTAACAAGAGAGAAGACAGAGGATTGGACATGGAGGAAGTTTCAAATAGGGATAGAAGAAGTTTCAAATGGGCATGGAGGAAGTTTCAATTGCGGATGTTTTCCTTCGTAACCTTTAGCCTCATTTACTGAGTTCAATTAACTTCAACCCTGCAAAATTTTGTTTCCTTATTTGCCCTTACAATTAGTCTCATGTGTCAGGTACATGAATGAATTTAACTAAAACATTGACAGAGTGAACGAAAAGGTCCATAGCTGCACATTTTAACTAGTTAAGGAACCAATGGTCTTGGAAATAAAGTTTAGCTACCATCGCTTCAATTGAGTTAAAGTTGAGAGACCATTACTACAGCCCCAGGTGGCGAAGAACCAACATTAGGGTGCCAAAACTTCTCGTCGACGTGAGCTCTTGGGGAAGATCAACTTGTTATCCCTAGAGTAACTTTTATCTGTTGAGAGATGGCCCTTCCATTCGACACCATCAGATCACTAAGGCCGACTTTCGTCCCTGTTTGACAGGTGGGTCTTGCAGTCAAGCTCTCTTCTGCCTTTGTAGTCGAAGGCCTCCCTCTGGCTCGAGGAAACCTTTGCACGCCTCCATTACCTTTTGGGAGGCCTATGCCCCATAAAAATTGTCTACCTAAGACTGTCTTTTAGCCCGTAGGTTCTGATACAAGGTTAGAATTCTAGCTCTTCTAGAGTGGTATCTCACTGATGGCTTTTGGCCGCCCCCCCCCCCCCCCCCGCGGGAGAGGGGAAGGGGGCCTTCTTCGCCTTCCACCTAAGTTGTGCAGGAAAGGCCCAAAGCTAATCCCAGGGAACAGTGAAGCTTCATAAGGTCTTTCTGTCCAGGTGCAGGTAATCCACATCTTCACAAAACATGTCTATTTCACCGAGCCTCTCTCTGAGATAGTGCCCAGATCGTTACGCCTTTCATGTGGGTCAGAACATACCCGATAAGGAATTTCACTACCTTAGGAGCGTTATAGTTACGATCGCCGTTCACCGGGGCTTCGGTCGCCGGCTCCCCTTGTTGGAAATATGCCCTGAAAGTCAATCTTTGGAAGAAATCTTTCAGGACAAATGAATCGATGTATGGATGATTCTTATACATCAAATGGCGAAGATACTAATTAGGACTATCTCAATAAACGATATATGTCCTGAATAGTGAATCCATGGACAATGGATCGATTGAAGAAGTGATCTAATGATGTTAGACTACAGAGACCTTCTTTACATAACCATTATGTCCAAAAGGTTCCTGGTCATTGGATTGTCGGAGGGATACTGACAATGCTTAGACCAGTACATGCTGTGTCCGCTTCAATTGGAAGGATGGAAAGTCTCAACCCATTCGTGTTGTGACACTAAGACAAGTATGTAGGTGCTCATTAAGGGAATGAGTTCACTGAACACAATCGAACGGGAGTACTTGCATGGAGGTCTACTCACATGTCAAGCAAGTAACTCTAATGGTTGGAAAGATGTAAGTAATCCTTAGACCTGAGGCATCGTCGTTGTCTTGTGGTTAAGTACTTAATCTTTGATTATGTCAAAGTCTCCCCATTCGAGGGTGTCCACGGCATAATTGGGGTTAAGCCACTTAGTCATGAAGGCAAGTGTATGCGCAACAAGGAATCTCTAATCCTCGATAAGAGAGGAAGAATACTCTAAAAATATGATTCGGGAATCTTCGGGCCGAAGTATCGAGCGTAATAAAGGAAAGTGTTCCTATACGACTCAATTGGATCATATAAGAAGGAA